TCTGTTTCTGTTTTTTTTGTTGTTTGTTTGTTTGTTTGTTTTTGAGATAGGATCTCACTCTGTTACCTAGACTGGAGTGCAGTGGTGCAGTCACGGTTGCCACCTCAGCCTTCCAAGTAGCTGGGACTACAAGCGTGTGCCACCACACTTGGCTAATTTTTTTTTAAGTGACAAGAGCGAAACTCTGTCTCAAAATAAATAAATAAATAAAAATAAAGTTTTGCACATATTTTATGAAGCCCACAAAGGGCATCTTAAGGGTCTATGCTCTTAGAACATTTCTGGAAGGATACACAGAAATGGTTATTGCTGTGGCCCTGGAGTGCAGGAGGGGAATTTTCCTTTATTGAATACCCTTTAATCTATAGTGCATGTATTATGATTTTAAAGTTTTTAAACTTGTTAGTTATTTTAAAGGAATTGCTGTTCTAACACTTTGGAGTGATCACGAACTCGCATCCCTTCAGGGGCCAGGGAGATTCAGTGTACTTGGGTTTAAGGAGATGGCGGTGGTGGAGCTGCAGCTAACTACAGCTTCCATACCACACCCAAAGTGCTTAAATTCAATACCATGAGAAGCATAGTGTTTGATCAAATCAATGTCCCACTATTGGTCCCAGGAGCACTATCAATTAGCGACCTCTGCTTAGAGTGATAGTGACAGGTTTTATGTGAAAACCTTTCAGAGGAGTCAATGATTCCTTAGTGAAGTATGCAGAATCTCTAAAGCAATGAGGGGTTGGGGAAATTACCTGAGAGCTCCAGAGAATATGGCTGGTTCTGCATAATGCAGTTTTTACACAGAAAGGGTTATCCATCCAGGCCTCTGTTTTCTGACGTGTCCAGCCCCTGCCTGGTGGAAACTTCTAGTCCGATGGGAGATGGACAGAGTCTACTCTTGGAAGGCAGAGTTCATGTCATGGCAGGCCCTGAAGGGTCTGAGCTGAATTTCCTCAGGTAGAAATGAGGGAAATCTATATTCCTTTCAGGGTGAACAGTAGAATCAAAAGTTCTGAGGTGGGCCAGGCATTGTGGCTCACACCTGTATTCTCAGCACTTTGGGAGGCCCAGGCAGGAGGATCACTTGAGGCCAGGAGTTCAAGACCAGCCTGGGCAACACAGTGAGACCCCTGTCTCTACAAGAAGTAAAAAAAATTATTGGGGCATGGTGGCACATGCCTGTAGTCCTAGTTACTCAAGAGGCTGAGGTGGGAGGATCACTTGAGGCCAAGAGTTCAAGACTGTGGTGAGCTATGATCATGCCACTGTACTCCAGCCTGGGCAATGAGAGGAAGAGGAGGGGAAGGGAGGGAAGGGGGTGGAAGTGAGAGGGGGAGAGGAGGAGGGAAGTGTGGGGGGAAAGAAAGGAGGGAAGAAAAATGGAAGAAAGGAAGAACAAAAGGAAGAAAGGAAGGAAGGGAGGGAGGGAGGAAGAGAGGAAGAAAGTGAGTCCCAAGGTGGAAAATCAAGGGGCCTGTTTGGAGAAGAGAGAGAATTCATGGGATCTGGCTCAGGGGAAGAAGTATGGGAAATCAAGTTGAAAAGGCAGGTTCCAGGGAATCAAGTCCCCCCAGCCTTCTAATATGACAAAGCTGAGAAAGAATTCTTCCTGGTGACCATTTCATTCTTGTGTAGTGAGTGCACTCAGTCCCCCCAGAAGTAACTGTGGAGGACTTGGTTAGAACCCCAGTGACCAACCATTGCTCCCGACCAGGTTCCCAACAGGCACGTGCTGGCTTGGGATGCTCCAAGGCCACCTGGAGGATATGGATCTATCTCAACCCAATTTCCTCCTCCTAGGGGATGAACTGAATATGAGGGAAGAGAGCGAGCAGATCAATGCTCGGAAAGGGAATGTATGTCGCTCAGGGTCTCAGAGCAAATTGAGGAATCATAGAGGCTGAACTCCCACCTCTAGATTCTTATTCCAAGGCTCACTCCCCAGCACCGGGCTGCCTCTTGAAGTGTATGTGTCAACTCCAGGTACAACACAACAATTACCATTCTCAATAAAACCCCCTTCCCATTCACCCACAAGATGCTAGGCCTTGGGCTAGGTTCTTGTCAAGCTAACTGGGTTCTCAGAACAAGCCTATAAGGTAGGTACTACAATTATTCCCAGTTTCCAGATGAGGAAGGTGAAGCTCCAAGGGGCAAAATGACATTCTTCTGCAAGGCAGAGCCGAGTTTCCAAATCAGAGCCATTTGACTGCAAAGATCGTGCACGTCAGATAAAGGAAACCTCACTGAAGCAGGGAGGGACACACATAGCCTTCCAGGCTTGTGAACAGCATTTCCAGAGGTCACAGGATTGCACAGAGAAAATACTGTGCAAACCAGATTCTCCCCGTAAAGCCCAAAGGAGGCATCCTGCCTTTAGCCAAAGCCAGAGGCACCAGACTCCAACAGCTGATTCCTGTTTCATCTGATTCCTGTTTTTCCTACTCCCCTCTCCACCACCCCAAGACTATTCAAATATAAGCTTTGGCTGGGTGCAGTGGTTCACACCTGTAATCCCAGTACTTTGGGAGGCTGAGGTGGGCAGATCACCTGAGGTCAGGAGTTCAAGACCAGCCTGGCCAACATGGCAAAACCCTGTCTCTACACAAATACAAAAATAAATAAATATATATTTATTTATATGCTAGGCCTTGGGCTAGGTTCTTGTCAAGCTAACTGGGTTCTCAGAACAAGCCTATATATATATGCGTGTGTGTATAGATAGATAGATAGATAGGTAGGCATGATAGTGGGTACCTATAATCCCAGCTACTTGGGAGGCTGAGGCAGGAGAATCGCTTGAACCCAGGAGGCAGAGGTTGCAGTGAGCTGAGGATCGTGCCTTCATGAAAGCAGAGGAGTTCAGTCAGTTTTGTTCACTAATTTCCAGCACCTACAAGAGTGCCTGGTACATATAAGGAGCTATTAATAAATAAACGTGTTGGATGATGTGGAAGATGAATGTTTTTTAACTATAGGGAGTTTTCATTTGTTTGTTTTTTGACATAGGGTTTCCGCTCTCTCACCCAGGTTGAAGTGCAATGGTGCCATCTTGGCTCACTGCAGCTTTGACCTCCTGGTCTCAAGTAATCCTCCCACTTCAGCTTCCCGAGTAGCTGGGCGTACAGGCATGTGCCACCACACCAGGCTTATTTTTTGCTTTTTTAAAAAAATTTTTTGTACAGACAGGGTCTCACTACGTTGCCCAGATTGGTCCCAAACTCCTGGCCTCAAGTGATCCTCCCACCTGGACCTCCCACAGTGCTTGGATTACAGGCATGAACCACTGCGCCTGGCCAAATTTAGACTATCGCACAAAGCTCCTGTATAGGGGTACTTCCATTAGCTGGGAGACCCAACTTGAATGACAGTGGCTTGGTGACAGAAGATTTGAAAATGCTCCTTGATGAGCCGACTGGATAAGGAATACCACTGGGAATCACTTTGGAAAGTGATAAACACATTTAACTCAAGTTAAACTCTCCCTGAGTGATCATTTTGGATAAGCCTGGACTTTCTTGCTTTACTCAGAGTAGCATTTGTTTCCTTCCACTCAGCAGACCTTCATGAAGCATTATGTGTGCAAAGCTCAGTGCCACATCTCAGATCTGAGAAATGGAAGGAAGTGCAGAAACCACCCACCAGCCCCGCCATTCCTGAAGAGCATGTGGGAGAGCTGAAACCCAGAGAGAGGTTACTGAGGGAGGCAGGAGGTCCCAGTCCAAGGTCTGCCCCTGGCTCTGTCCCCTCGGCCCTCATAGGTCTGCAGACTTTCAAAGTCAGCAGCTGGACCAGGCCCAGAATTCTAATAGGCAGAGTAACACTTCCTGACTTAACAAAGGGCTGGGCTGGAAAGTGTTCCTGCTAAGGGTCTCCAGGAATTAAATGACTTTGGTGGCCATGCACGGTGGCTCATGCCTGTAATCCCAGCACTTTGGAAGGTCAAGAAGGGAGGATCACCTGAGGTCAGGAGTTCGAGACCAGCCTGACCAACATGGCGAAACCCCTTCTCTACTAAAAATACAAAAGTTAGCCAGGTGTGGAGGCACATGCCTTTAATCCCAGCTACTCAGGAAGCTGAGGCACGAAAGTCACTTGAACCTGGAAGGTGGAGGTTGCAGTGAACCAAGATTGCACCATTGCACTCCAGCCTAGGCGATAGAGTGAGACTCCATCTCAAAAAAAAAAAAAAAAAAAAAAAAGAAAAAGAAAATGCCATGTAGGAAATGACATACAGATAAGCCTTGAAGGATGAAGAGAGAGCTAAAGGGGCATTTCAGATGAAGGATCTTCACAAATAAAGCTACAGTGTGGGGACTACCCGGGTGTAGTCTGGAGAGCAGGCAGAACAGGGAGTGGGGACCACTGGAAGGCTACTGGAGCCATCATGGTGAGAACCACTGGAAATGATGAGCCCTGGGCTTAGCACTTTACATCCTCATGCTAGACCTTGGAGATAGGTTCCCTTACTACTACTGCATTCTTTCAGATAAGGAAACGGAGGTTCAAGGAGGTGACAAAGTCACAAGGCTGACTGGTGGTAGAAATAGCACTTAAGCCAGGTCCTTCTGATGCCTCCCCCCGACCTCCTTACCACTGGGATGCCAGGCAGTGGCATTACTGAGGCCTTCCCATCTAAGGTACCACTGTCCCAGCACACTTGGCTTGGCATGTCACCTCAGACATGTGGGCAACAAGAGGTCAATCTTTGCCTTAAGCATGGAAGCTAGCTTGATCCCACCTTTTTGAGTTGAACATCTACGAGACTATCAGGACCTCCTTCACCAGAATAGAGGGCATGCATGGGCAAGGAATATGAGGATTGCTGAGGATTTGTTATGCTCCGCTGTCTGCTGGTTTCTGTTTATTGTTCTATAGTTGTGTAGGTTGTAGTTACTAGTTCTTCTCTGGTCACACTGGTGTCATCATGACTCTGGGGCAGATCCCTTTGCCAGAAGTAGGGTGGCTGGTCATTCTTGGGAGACTGGAGTTTAAACTGGTCATGGTACCCCAAAGGTTAAGTACTGGTTGTTCACGGATTCATCTCTCTATCGCCCCAGCTTTCTGAGCTGCTCTGTCATGAACTTTTTTTTCAGGTGTTCATAGTAGTGGTTCATCTTTTTCTTGGTCTTCTCTAAAGCGTTCACCTTACAAAAAACAGAGGTGAGGTTAGGGTCACTTCACAGCAGGGCAGGCATCTGTGCTGCTGATGTGGGGGTGGGAAGAGTGTCAGCTGGACCCTATGTACATTCCATATACTTTGACTCACAGGGAGCCTATTTCTCTAGTTGTAAAAAGTGGCCATTAAGCTAGATAACTCCAAGGCCGGGAGCAGTGGCTCACGCCTGTAATCCCAACACTCTGGGAGGCCAAGGAGGGTGGATCACTTCAAGTCAGGAGTTTGAGAGCAGCCTGGCCAACATGGTGAAACCCCGTCTCTACTGAAAATACAACAATTATCCAGGCATGGTGGCCCATACCTGTAATCCCAGCTACTCGGGCGGCTGAGGCAGGAGATTTGCTTGAACCCAGGTGGTGGAGGCTGCAGTAAGCTGAGACCGCACCACAGCACTATAGCCTGGACAACAGAGTGAGACTCTGTCTCAAAAAAAAAAAAAAAAAAAGCTAGGTAACTTCTATGATACCTTCTGACAGTCTGCAGCCTAGGAGCCTGATTTTGACCTTAAAAACATCTCTAGGCCGGGCGCGGTGGTTCACCCTTGTAATCCCAGCACTTTGGGAGGCCGAGGCGGGCGGATCACGAGGTCAGGAGATGGAGACCATCCTGGTTAACACGGTGAAACCCTGTCTCTACTAAAAAAATACAAAAAATTAGCCAGGCGTGATGGCGGGCGCCTGTAGTCCCAGCTACTCGGGAGGCTGAGGCAGGAGAATGGTGTGAACCCAGGAGGCGGAGCTTGCAGTGAGCCGAGATCGCGCCACTGCACTCCAGCCTGGGCGACAGAGTGAGACTCTGTCTCAAAAACAAAAACAAAACAAAACAAAAAAATCTCTATTTGGCCAGGCGTCGTGGCTCACGCCTGTAATCCCAGCACTATGAGAGGCCAAGGAAGGCAGAGGTCAAAAGATCGAGACCATCCTGACCAACATGGTTAAACCCCCTCTCTACTAAAAACACAAAAATTAGCTGGGCGTGGTTGTGCGCACCCGTAGTCCCAGGTACTCGGGGAGGCTGGGGCAGGAGAATCGCTTGAACCCGGGAGGCGGAGGTTGCAGGCAGGATAATCGCTTGAACCCAGGAGGCGGAGGTTGCAGTGAGCCGAGATTGCGCCACTGCATTCCAGCCCGGCGACAGAGCAAGACTCTGTCTTAAAAAAAAAAAAAAATAATAATAATAATAATAATAAATCCCTATCTGAAGACTGGTCAGAAAAAAGATGGCGGGGGTGGGGGCGGTTTAGGAGGGTTACATCTTGTCTCTCCATAACTTCTATTGCCCTGTCACTATCAATCATTTGGTGCCTCCCGCATGTTGTCTGTGACATCCCCTATATCACACTGAATTCTACTGATTTCTTCTATTGTATAACTTATGTCCCCCAAAAGACGGTCTGGGAAGCCACATCCTATGTCTTACTCATTTACTCCAATGAGCTAGCTACAGGAGAGGATACTAAGAAAAACTGCCACCAATCTTCACAGTAACTACAGTGTAGTCAGTAGGTAAGACACATGCCCAAATATTTCTTTTTTTTTTTTTTAGACGAAGTCTCCCACTGTCGCCCAGGCTGGAGTGCAGTGGTGCAATCTCGGCTCACCGCAACCTCCACCTCCCAGGTTCCTGCCATTCTCATGCCTCAGCCTCTCGAGTAGCTGGGACTACATGCGCCCACCACCATGCCCGGCTAATTTTTTTGTATTTTTAGTAGAGATGGGGTTTCACTGTGTTAGCCCAGATGGTCTCGATCTCCTGACCTCGTGATCTGCCGGCTTCGGCCTCCCAAAGTGCTGGGATTACAGGTGTGAGCCACCATGCCCAGCCCACATGCCCAAATATTTCTAAGAGAGAAAATGATCCACCTCCAAAAGAAGCGCAGAGCTCAAGGAAGGGAGATATCAAGACAAGTTTCATTTGGCTGGGCGCGGTGGCTCATGCCCATAATCCCAGCACTTTGTGGGGCCGAGGCAGGTGGCTCACTTGAGGCCAGGAGTTTGAGATCAGCCTGGCCAACATGGTGAAACCTCATCTCTACTCAAAATACAAAAAAAATCTAGCTGGGTGTGGTGGCATATGCCTGCAATCCCAGCTACTCAGGAGGCTAAGGCACAAGAATTGCTTGAACCCAGGAGGCGGAGGTTGCATTGAGCCAAGATTGTGCCACTGCACTCCAGCCTGGGTGACAGAGCAAGACTCTGCCTCGGAAAAGAAAAGAAAAGCTATACAGAGAAGTTAGCATATAAACTGAGGCTAGGTTTTGAAGGATGGGAAGGTTTCGGGCATGTCGAAACAATGTGGTGGGTGGTGAACCTGTGAATGTACGTTTTTAACAAGCCCTCCAGGGGTTTCTGATAAGCACTAACATTATCTGCAGACCCAGCACAAGGTTAAGCAAAGGACTTCTTCATAAAGGCCAATGTGGACATGATTACTTGACATGAGGAATTAAAGAGGGAGGGTGGGTACTAAATGACATAGTTCAAGTCCGTGTTCTCCAAACCTGGCTGAGCATCAGAAGTGTTTCAGTTACTTGATACAAACATGGGCCCCAAGGATTCTTGCTTAATAGGGTTTGGATGGGGGCCAGCAATCTCCACTTTTGTCATGTACCTGAGATGATTCTGATCCAGCCATTACCAAGTGGCTGCCATTACCACCATTTTCTTTTTATCTTTCTTTCTTTCGTTTTTTTTTTTTGTTGTTGTTATTTATTTATTTATTTATTTATTTATTTATTTATTTTTTGAGACGGAGTCTCGCTCTGTCGCCCAGGCTGGAGTGCAGTGGTGCAATCTCGGCTCACTGCAAGCTCCGCCTCCCAGGTTGACGCCATTCTCCTACCTCAGCCTCCCGAGTAGCTGGGACTACAGGCGCCCGCCACTGCGCCCGGCTAATTTTTTTTTTTCTATTTTTTAGTAGAGACGGGGTTTCACCATGGTCTCGATCTCCTGACCTTGTGATCCGCCCGCCTCGGCCTCCCAAAGTGCTGGGATTACAGGCGTGAGCCACTGCGCCCGGCCTTTTTTGTTTTTTTTTTGAGACAGGGTCTCACTCTATCGCCCAGGCTAGAGAGAGTGCAGTGGCATAGTCTTGGTTCACTGCAACCTCCACATCCTGGGTTCAAGCGATTCTCATGCCTCAGCCTTTCAAGTATCTGAGATTACAGGCTCAAGCCACCACACCAGGTTAATTTTTGTATTTTTAGTAGAGACAGGGTTTCACCATGTTGGCCAGGCTAGTTTCAAACTCCTGACCTCAAGTGAGCCACCTGCCTCGGCCTCCCAAAGTGCTGGGCTTACCGGTGTGAGCCACCGTGCCTGACCTTATTACCACCATTTTATTTTCTTTTCTTTGAGAGTTTTGCTCTTTTGCCCAGGCTGGAGTGCAATGATGCGATTTTGGCTCATCACAACCTCTGCCTCCCGGGTTCAAGCAATTCTCCTGCCTCAGCCTCCTGAGTAGCTGGGATTACAGGCATGTGCCACCACACCCAGCTAATTTTGTATTTTTAGTAGAGAAGGGTTTCTCCATGTTGGTCAGCCTGGTCTCGAACTCCCAACCTCAGGTGATCCACCCGCCTCATCCTTCCAAAGTGCGTGTGCCACCGTGCCTGGCTTACCACCATTTTCTAGTCCACTCCATGACAGCGGGCTTTTTGGCCTCTCTCAACTAGTGATTTTACCTTGAGCGTGACTCTTACCAATCAGGGTTTCTCAACCTTGACATTACTAACATTTTGAGTGAGGCAGTTCTGTGTGGTGGTAGCCTGTCCCATACACTGCGGGATATTCAGCAGCATCCCTGGCCTCTACCTACTAAATGATAGTAGCACCACTATCATCGTAATATCAAAAATGTAATAATCAAAATGTCTCCAGACATTGCGAATATCCCCTGAGGGGCAAAACCTCTTGAGGACCGCAGCCATAGATGAAGCAGTAGCAGCCATCATTCACTGTTCTTAGAGCATACTCAGGGGATGCCCAAGATGCTAGAACCTAGCTGTCCTTGAAATCCGTGGCTAGCCAAAGACGCCTCTTCCCCTAATGTGATCACATTTTTAGAGAGACAGAAACACTGCCACATTGTCACAGAAGCCTTCAAATCCTCTGAGTTCCTACAAGCTGGCATCTCCGCTAGTCACTGGGTCTATAAACTGGAGAAACCAGTGTCTGTCCTTGGGGAGAATATCCTGCGTGACGGTTAGTCAGACTGGGGTTTGTAACTCTGCAGTGACTCACAGTGTGATCCTAGTGAAGTTCCTCCATTTCTTTTGAGTTTCAGTTTTTGAACTACTAAATGGGGGTAATAATGCATAATAGGTGTCAGGTACCTAAAACGTATAAGGTCTCCATATAGCTTTAAAAGGAAGCTTCTGAGACCAAGTGCAGTGGCTCATGCCTGTAATCCTAGAACTCTGGGACGCTGAGGCCGGCAGATGACCTGAGGTCAGGAGTTCGAGACCAGCTTGGCTAACATGGTGAAATCCTGTCTCTACTAAAAATACAAAAATTAATCAGGTGTGCTGGCACACGCCTGTAGTCCCAGCTACTTGGGAGGCTGAGGCGGGACAATCGCTTGAACCCAGGAAGTGGAGGTTGCAGTAAGCTGAGATGGTGCCACTGCACTCCAGCCTGGGTGACTCCATCTCAAAACAACAACAACAAAAAAAAACACAAAAGGGCCGGGCGCAGTGGCTCACGCCTGTAATCCCAGCACTTTGGGGAGGCCGAGGCAGGTGGATCATGAGGTCAGGAGTTCAAGACCAGCCTGGCCAACATGGTAAAACCCTATCTCTACTAAACATATAAAAATTAGCTAGGTGTAGTGGCTACAATCCCAACTACTTGGGAGACTGAGGCTGAAGAATCGCTTGAAACTGGAAGGTGGAGGTTGCAGTGAGCTGAGATGGAGCCACTGCATTCCAGCCTGAGCAACAAGAGTGAAACTCTGTCTCAAAAATATAAATAAATAAAAATAATAAAAAAAGGAAGCTTCTGGGCAGCTGAAAGTTGGCACAGCCCTCAGGTAGACATAAAGCCAACTCAGGAGTTTCCATTTAAGAGTATTTCAGAGTTCCTCCTCTCACCTAAGGTGCACAACATTCCCTACTCACTGAGTTGGCCCCCAACTTATCCTAGGCCTCTCAAAATACTCCACACCACCTGACCACAATGATTGGAACAGGGATGGGTCCATGAACCAAGTGGGGCCAGCTGCATTCCTTCTCCAGGATTTGTCTAACCGGAGCAGCAGTGGAAGCGCTCCTTGTGGTCTAGAGGCCAGGGTTTCCTGTGGCTTTGCTCCCCAAGGTCAGCCAGTCTGATAATGATACTAGTGTTCAGAAAGCCACAAAGGGCTGGGCACAGTGGAGCATGCCTGTAATCCCAGAACTTTGGGAAGCAGAGATGGGCAGATCACTTGAGCCCAGGAGTTTGAGGCCAGCCTGGGCAATATGGTGAAACCTCATTTCTATTAAAAGTACAAAACATTAGCTGGGCAAGATGGCACATACCTGTAATCCTAGCAACCTGGAAGGCAGAGGTGGGAGGATTGCTTGAACCCAGAAGGTTGAGGCTACAGTGAGCTATGGTCATGCCACTGCCCTCCAGCCTGAGCAAAGGAGTGAGACCACGTTTCAAAAAAAAAAAAAAAAGGAAGAAAAAAGAAAAATAAAGGGGGAAAAAAAAAAAAAAGAAGGATACAAAGACGATGAGAGAAAATGGAAGACATACCTGGTGGTAGTACAGCTCCTGGCTTTCCCCAAAAACATTGGTGACTCTGCCCTGTCCATCCTTGATTATGTAAACCCAGCTTCTCTCTTTTGCTTGAACTAGTTCAAGTTCAGTTTATATTACCTGCAACTGAGAGGATCTTAACAGATCCTCTGTTACAAATCAGAAAGCAGAGTCTGGAGGAAGTGTGATTCACCCAGGGTCACACAAAACTGGTTTTCCCATCTATTTCCACTGCACCACACCCATGGAAGTGTAGCAGAAGGAGAAATGCCCAGGTCTCTACTCTTCTTTTGGTGTTTGTGACCTTTAAGAGGATCTGACACCATCTCTTAAGGATCTCCAATTGTTTTTAATGTTAGAATCCTGTGGGCCCATCCAGACTTGCCCCTGGAACATGGAGGGAAGCTCAAAAGAGTCAAGAAGGGGGCAGTGGCTGGACATGGTGGCTCACTCCTGTAATCCCAGCACTTTGGGAGTCTGAGGTGGGTGGATCACCTGAGGTCAGGAGTTCGAGACCAGCCTGGCCAACATGGTGAATCCCCGTCTCTACTAATAAAACAAAAATTAGCCAGGCGTAGTGGTGCATGCCTTAATCCCAGCTATTTGGGAAGGTGAGGCAGGAGAATTGCTTAACCCGGCAGGTAGAGGTTGCAGTGAGTTGAGATAGCGCCACTCCATTCCAGCCTGGGCAAGAAGAGTGAAACTCTGTCTCAAAAAAGAAAAGAAGGTGGCAGCAGCTCAACCCTGGGCACCCTGCTCTGCTTGAAAAAATGACTGTGTTCCTGGAGTCCATCTTGTTCACTTGTCTCTTCCTAGTGCCCAACATAGTACCTATCCCAAGCAGGCCCAAAGGACAGGTTTAATGAATGCATCAATCAGGGTCTATGGGAACAGTGCAGTGACAGCACTCAGCATTTCAAGTAAGCAGGTCAAACTCTACCTGTCCATAGCAAAAAGTGGGAGAAGAGCCTCAGTTCTCATCTGGAAAATGGGGATAATCCCCAAAGGAAAAAATCGACAAGATGGTGTTGAGGCCCATTCAAACTGTAGGACTCAAGACTTTGGTTTTCTGTTTGTTTGTTTGTTTGTTTGTTTGAGATGGAGTCTTGCTCTGTTGCCCAGGTTGGAGTACAGTGGCACCATCTCAGCTCACTGCAACCTCCACCACCCAGGTTCAAGCAATTCTCATGCCTCAGCCTCCCATGTAGCTGAGATTACAGGCAGGTGCCACCACACCAGGCTAATTTTTGTATTTTTAGTAGACACAGGATTTCACCATGTTGGCCAGGCTGGTCTAGAACTCCTGACCTCAAGTGATCCTCCTGCCTCAGCCTCCCAAAGTGCTGGGATTAGAGGTATGAGCCACTGCGTGCGGCCTAGGACCCCAGACTTTGTATAGGAGAAAATAAGAATTTATTCATGGATTCCCTAAATAGAGAGATAATATGCTTTCAGAAAAAAAGACCCAAGAGATATGGAGTCTTTCCCTGTGGCTCTCTTAGCCCAGGAACCTTGTGCAAGTCAGTAACCCTGAGTATCAAATTGCCTCCTCCGTAAAATGGCGCCTGCCTTAGGGCACCTTGATGACTCCCTATCACCTCTATGATCCCCCAGGATACAGGGAGAATGAAATAAATATGGGTCAAGCCACTAACACCCTCTAATGCAAAAGCTTGTGGCTACTTTACCTCCATCTCATAGATTCGTTGTGCGATGCGGTTATCATGAATAATCACCCGAGATAAATGGCTCTTGGGTAAAGTTTTTTTCATTGCTGCTTCACTGGAATTCATTATGCTGGAGCAGGGAGGGAAAGGTGGTACAGGTTACAGATGGCTGGAGCCAGGGTCAGAGCACATTTGATGGGGTCCTATGGGAGTGGCTGAGGCTTCCCCAGGTTTCTTAGGACAAGTGCAGCTCTGCCATAATTTTCAGAAGAACAAGGGAGTAACCACAGTTTCTTGTTGTGGAAAAGGTACGCTGAAGGGGTATTTCATGGATACCTAGAAGAAAAGCCATTCTGAGGATATAAAAGGGCCCAGTGCAGTCCACAGAGAAGGGTAATCAGGAACTCGAAACCATCCTCAGAAGCAGTCATCTTTTTTTTGTTTTTTGTTTTTTTGAGATGGAGTTTCACTCTGTCTCCCAGGCTGGCGTGCAGTGGTGCAATCTTGGCTTACTGCAACCTCCACCTCCAGTTCAAGCAATTCTCTTGCCTCAGCCTCCTGAGTAGCTGGGACTACAGGTACTTGCCACCACGCCTGGCTAATTTTTGTATGCTTAGTAGGGACAGGATTTCACTGTGTTGGACAGGCTGGTTTTGAACTCTTGATCTCAAGAGATACACCCAACTCAGCCTCCCAAAGTGCTGGGATTACAGGCAAGTGCACCCAGCCAAAAGCAGTCATCTTGATGATCCTTCTTAAGGATGAAGTGGTGAGAGGAGTCTTAGAGGAGAGGAGTAAAGTTGTAGGGTAGGATTCAGAAGGATGAATCTGAGAGGTGTTTAGCTTGGGGGGCACTTGCTCTAGAGCGTATGCCTCAAGGGGATCTGGGAGGTGGGGGGTTGGGGGAGTATAAATTAGAGCAGGGAGAAATGAAAATGAAAACCTTGGACAGGTGTTAGGCTGGTTAACGGGGAAATTCTGGAAGAAAGTTTGGGGAGTTTAGAAAAGTGAGGGAGGTATGGGGTGGCCAAGGGTTTTAGGAGACTCTGAAAGGTGAGAGGTGAAAGATGGGGTGGGGTGGGCTAGAATGGAGCCAAGTACTCCAGGTGAAAATACAACAATTTGGTCAAAATGAGAAAACAGTGAAAAGTGGAAACACTTTCAGGCACTGAGTTTTCACTTTTTGATAATTTGGTTACACCACGAAGTAGTTTTATGAACATATACCTTTAAATGGTTTTGTCCATTTAAAAATAATTGTTCGGGACCGGATGTGTTGGCTCACACCTGTAGTTCCAGCACTTTGGGAGGCTGAAGCAGGCGAATCACGTGGAAGTCAAGAGTTCCAGAACAGCTTGGCAAACATGGTGAAACCCCGTCTCTGCTAAAAATACAAAAATTAGCTGGGCGTGGTGGTGAGCACCTGTAATCCCAGCTACTCGGGAGGCTGTGCAGGAGAATCACATGAACCCACGAGGCGGAGGTTGCAGTGAACTATCGTACCACTGTACTCCAGCATGGGCGGCAAAGTGAGACTCCGTCTCAAAAAAAAAAAAAAAAAAAAAAGTTCATATTTTCTTTCTAAAATGTGGAAACAAGATGTACAATATTGAATAAATTTTGGTATGTCATAAAATAAAATACATGTAATTGTGTATGAAACATAGACACGGGTGGTGTATTAGATGGGAGAAGAAAGCAGGTTACTAGAAAGTGAACTTTTTGTGATGTATTGTTTTTTAAGTGTAAGCATGTTATCATATATATATATATATATATAATATGTGAATGGAAGTATACATATGTAGCAAACCTGCACGTTGTGCACATGTACCCTACAACTTGAAGTTTAATAATAATAAATAAATTTAAAAAATATATATATATATATGAATGGATCCCGAACAAAATGCACCAAAATGTTAACAGTGATTGTCCCTAGCCAATCATGCTGCTAGTCTGTCTTATTTTTCTTATTTTATTTTATTTTTATTTCTTTGAGACGGGGTCTCACTCTGTTGCCGAGGTTGGAGTGCAGTGGCACAGTCTCGGCTCACTGCAACCTCTGCCTTCCAGGCTCGAGCAATCCTCACACCTCAGCCTCCCAGGTAACTAGGACCACAGGCCAGCCACAATGCCTGGCTAATTTTTTGTATTTTTGGTAGACACAGGGTTTCGCCATGTTGACCTGGCTGGTCTTGAATTCCTGAGCTCAGGTGATCCACCCTCCTCAGCCTCTCAAAGTGGTGGGATTACAGGCATGAGTCACTGCACCTGGACTTATTTATCCATAAGTGTATGCTACTTTTGTAATTAGGACAAAAAAGACAACTGTGGAAGGGTAAAACATTTTGAAGGACTAGAATTTTTTTCTAACTGATGCCAGGGGCAGTGGCTCACACCTGTAATCCCAGCACTTTGGGAGGCAGAGGCAGGCAGATCACCTGAGGTCAGGAGTTCCAGACCAGCCTGGCCAACATGGTGAAACCCCGTCTCTACTAATAATACAAAAATTAGCCAAGCATGGTGGCGCACGTCTGTAATCCCAGCTACTCAGGAGGCTGAGGCAGGAGAATCGCAATTCATTTTCAGCCAATTTGGAACCGGAGTGTCGTGTATGTTTTTAGATTTACAAACTAGTATGAACAATCCAATTTCCCAGTCTCCCATTTACATTTTTCTGACCTCTATGCACAGCCTAGGTATGAGGTGATGGAAAAGGCTGGTTTAGAGATCAAGATGCTCAAACAGAAAAGTCCCCCAAATCCTGATTTTTGTTGTTGTTGTTGTTGTTGTTGAAAAAAGAAATCCCTAAAACATTTAAGGACACATAAAACTCTTCACCCACTTAGTGGGTGCACCAAATTTACCAATACTAGAAGGGGAAAAGGGTGGCAACGACTGGAAATAGTCCCTTTCAAGTAATAAAGGTCATTTTTAACCAAATTGCTTTCTACCTCAAGTTCTCCATGGACAGGAGCCTGAAGGATGCAGAGAGGGGAGTTTGTGGAATGGAAAGGAGCACGGGTAATTAGGGTTTGTGAGGATCCAGGCCAGGCAGAGGGAACTGGGTTTTTTTCCAGGACCACTGGGGAACAGAGAGGCTGAGAAGGGGCATATGAGACGGATTCTAACTTGGGAGGACCCGGGCCTCGCCAGGCTCTAAGAGTCAGGGCTCACCCCCTAGGGTGCTGCGGCCACCAGATGTCATGCCTGGAGGACTAACGGGCCGGGACCGATTCTGAGAAAATGTGGACTGGAAATGGGGATTCCAGGTTCTCCCGGGATTCCGGGGCGACGGAGTTCGGGCTCCAGGGAATCCGAAGATTTAGACTGGGAAGGAGCTGGGGCCCGGGGCTACGAGGAATCAACTATCCGGGGGTGGGAAAAAGGGCCGGGGTTCAGCTGAGGGAAGCGCCAGTCTCAAAGAGTTCGGGTTCCCTCGCGGGTCCGAGGGTCTGACGAACGCTCTGGGCATGCGGGCCGCACCTGAAGAGCACCGGCTGCTGCGCGGTCCGCGGCCGCGGGAAGCAGACCTGCGGCTGACTCCCTACGCCGATGTCTTGGCGGCGGCCGAGTCTATCGCGCTGGTAGTTCGAGCCCAGCTGGTAGTTCGAGGTTGCGGCAGAACTGGTGGTCGCCTGGGGGGCGGTCCCATAGATCGTGGAGGATCCCAGGTCCCAGGTGACCAAGGGCCTAGTTGGCTGTGTCATTGCGGCTTCCCTATTGGAGAAAGAGTTGGAAACTGGAGGCTGGTTGCCAGCCCAGCTAGGTGGCCCTGCGCTGACGCGGAGTGAGTGCCTGGGCGGAGCCCTGAGCCGAGAGCCGCGCGTTGCCTGGGAGACACATAGGCGGGGAAAGGGATAGGTGCTGTTGGACATGCACGCAGAGCCCGGCGGCTACGGACGCAGTAATATTGTCTCTCGGCGGCCGCCGTGGTGAGACCTGGCGCGTTGCCATGGAGACGGACGGCTCCGGAAGAAGTGGGGTGCAGTGAGCTGAGCAGATCCTATCCGCTTCAACGCGGGGACGGCGGTGACCCAGTCTTGCTGTCGGAGCGGGTAACGGGTTGAGCCAGGGTGGAGCTGCTCAGGGGCGTGGAGCTGAGGCCTGGATTTCTCTGAAGACCCAGCACAGGCAATACCTTTCTGCGACGAGAGACAATTGCTATGGAAACCAAAGTGCTAGGCCAACGGGGATTGAGGCTCCAGCATCCAGACTGGTCTCTTTCCAGAAGACCCTTACCCGAGGCTTCGCTGGGCGGCTGCTTCCGGAACGAATCCGCCACTCTCCTGAGGGGTCTTGACACCGAGCAGGCGAAGAAGCCTATTCCAATGCCAGCTCCCCCAGGAAACCCCTGGCCAACCCCTATAATAAGTAGTGCCTGGCTCTCGTTAACTCTTAGACTTTGTTCCACGTTTGTAACCTAGTATTTCGCTAACGCCCCATGGTGTTTGTTCGCTTTTCCCACACATAATGGGCCAGAAAGACTTGCTTTGGGACTTTGCTTTATGACTCTGAACAAGTCATTTTTTCCCGCTGGGTCTCTCTTTCCTCTTGTGTAAAATGGAAATATTAACTCTAGATGCCGGTCTGATTAGGTTTGAAGATCGAACCAGATGAGGGAAGCCAAAGACTTCATAGGCTGTAAAGTGGTGAAACTGAACTGCTACTGAGTTGCTATTTTTTTCTCCCCTCCCTCTGCCTCAAGCTAAACGTTCTTCAGATCTCGTGATTTCTTCAGGCGGTCTTTGTGACTCCCTAGCCTCCGACCTGGAATAAATCTCTCTTTACACTTCACTTCCACAGAGCCCTGCATTTTAACTTCCCTATCCAAAGCAAGAAAAATAGTTATCATTTTCAGAGGGCTTACTCTGTGCCAAGTCCTGATAAAACTCTTTACCTGGATTATCTCATTTAATTTCACAACATCCTTTTAAGGTAGCCACTGTTATCCTCTTTTCAAGCTCTGTCTGCCTGTAACTGCCTATTTAATGTCTGTTTCCCCCACTTGACTTTGAGCTCTGAGAAAAGGGGCCATGACTGTCTTGTACATTTCAGTATCTCCAACCCCTAATATGGTGCCTGATAAATATTTCCTAACTAGCATGAAAATGACTGACCCTCCTCCCATCACTACCCTCACCCTCAAGAGTATTGTCTCTCCTGCAGACTTTTAGTTGCTGTGATGAACAGCACTTTCCTTTATTCCCATCACTCACTGGGCACTGGTTTGAGGGGCCATCAGTTCACTTCTCTCTGGATTATCTGATGATGAGGATCCAGAACATCCCTTAGCATTTAGGCTTCCACCTTGGTTCAGGAGGCTTTTTCCTTGCCTGTCATATCGTCTCTAGAACAAGGCAACCCTCGCTGCCCTTCCTGGGGTGAGCCTGATGCATTTGAGTCCAGGGCATTGGCAGGTAGGATTTGCCTATGCAAGCTTTGGCTGTTCTTTTTAGTAGCCTCAGAACCACCCCCATCCCCACTCAGCCTGTTCCTGGAATTCTAGAGAAAAATGGCCAGGCTGGGGGCCATGGCTCATGCCTGTAATCCCTGCACTTTGTGAGGCTAAGACGGGCGGATCATTTGGGGTCAGGAGTTTTCGAGACCAACCTGGCCAGCATAATGAAACCCTGTTTATACTAAAAATAAAAAAAATTAGTCGGACATGGTAGCGCCCCCCTGTAATGCCAGCCACTCGGGAAGCTGAGGCACGAGAATCAGTTGAATCCGGGAGGTGGAGGTTGCAGTGAGCCAAGATCGTGCCATGTACTTCCAGCCTGGGCGACAGAGAAATACTTTGTCCCAGATAGATAGATAGATAGATAGATAGATAGATAGATAGATAGATAAAATTGCTGGGCGCGGTGGCTCACACCTGTAATCCCAACACTTTGGGAGGTCACGGAGAGCAGATCACTAGAGGTCAGGAGTTCAAGACCAGTCTGGCCAAAATGGTGAAACCTCATCTCTACAAAAATTAGCCGGGTATGGTGGTACCTGCCTATAATCCCAGCTACTCGGGAGGCTGAGGCAGGAGAATTGCTTGAACCCAGGAGGCAGAGGTTGCAGTGAGCCGAGATTGTGCCACTGCACTCCAGCCTGGACTACAGAGCAAGACTCTGTCTCAAAAAATACATTCATTAATAAAAATAAATTAATGACTTTGCCTCACTCCCCAATTTCAGAACCCGGGCATTGTGCCTTGTAGCACATCCTAGCTGAGCATCTAAGCACAAGCCTCTGCTGACCCCTTTTGGTCTCTGTGGGATCTGCCCTAGCCTAGCAGCCAGAGCCCCAGGTGTACATTTGGCACCTTCTGGCCTGGTGACCTCACCTGTCAAAATGCTTTCCCACCGCTTATCTCATGGGGTCCTTCCTACAATCCTGGGAAGTGAGGAGAGCCAGGATTCCCATTCTCACTTTACAAATGAGCAGCAGGATCCTGGGATCCAGGACCAAATCTACCACTAATTCCTTACCTGACCTTGATAGGTTGCCTTCCTATTCCTAGGTTCCGTCACCCATCGATGAAATAGGAGAGGCGATCTGCACAAGACAGCTATATGGTCTCTTCCAACTCCCCTACCTCTCATAGTGGAAAAGTGACTTGCCCAAGATCAGAGTGAACCAGAGCTGAAGCACTCCCAGTCTGCAGGTTCCCATCACTGATCAGGAAAAGCCAGGTGTCTCAGCAAAGAAGAAAACCCATTCTTCCACCTTTATGTTCTGATCATGTGTTCAAGGGCCACATAGATAGGTGAGTGGGTGGGTGGGTGGATGGATGGATGGATGGATGGATGAGTGGTTGGATGGATGAATGGTTGGATGGATGAGTGGAGGGATGGATGGATGGATGGATGGATGGATGGATGGATGGGTAAGTGGATGAGTGGATGAATGGATGGATTGGTGAGTGAATGGATGAATGGATGGATAGATGAGACAGATATGTCAGAACTTTAGCACTCACTCTTAGCAGCAACTTCAGCAGCTACCTACCTTCCCCTGCTCCCTGACAAGTTACCCCTCTGATTCCAGCTGGGTAGCCCTTTGGCAGGATCCTCTGGATCCACCAAATTCTGAATTCTTCACATTCTGAAATCACTGCTCCTGCCTGACAGCCTGGAGCTAGCACCTGCAGTGTGGGGAATAAGTCTTCATCCCAGGCTTCCTTCTTGACATGTTTTCAACCACTGTGCTCAACAGCTATAGCCGTAGGAGGAGAGTCAGTGGCCAGGGGCCATAAATGAAGCCTCCAACCATGGGCATCCCTCACAGAGCAGTTCCTTTTTGCCTATAATGGCTGAAATAAGCTCTGCGCTCATAATGAAGCTGAGGATCACTGGGGCGGCCGGCTGGCATGGGAAGAGCATGCCCTGTGCATCGTATGGCCTGGTTCACATCTGACATTAAGTTCCTGCACCTCCCTGTGCCTTGGTTTTCTTGCCTGTAAGATGGGCGTGATGCCTGACAAGTGGTGTTGTGGGGAATGAATGAGGTAAGATATAAAATGCCTCGCAGGTCATAGGTGCTCAGTAAACAGAAGTTCCCTTCTTTTTGTTCCAGGTCATGGAGAAATGCTGTAGAGGAAAGGAACAAAGTCTACTGTGCATCCAGCAAGGTTTGTATGTATGTACGTATGTATGTATGTATTTATTTATTCTGACATGGAGTCTCACTCTGTCACCCAGTGTGGAGGGCAGTGGCACGATATCAGGTCACTGCAGCCTCTGCAACCTGGGTTCAAGTGATTCTCCTGCCTCAGCCTCCCGAGTAGAGTAGTTGGGATAACAGGGGCCTGCCACCAAACCCGGCTAATTTTTGTATTTTTAGAAGAGACAGAGTTTCGCCATGTTGGCCAGGCTGTTCTCAAACTCCTCACCACAGGTGATTCCACCCACCTTGGCCTCCCAAAGTGCTGGGATTACAGGCGTGAATCACTGCACCCAGCCTCAAGGTTTTTAAACTGGTTAAGTTTTTCCAAGTACTCCAAAGCAGTGAAATGCATTTGGTGGGGGAATGAAGGGAGGGGAAATGAAATGTATTTTCAACAAGAAATGAAGTTGTGTTCAAACATACTTAATCTCTTTAAGAGATAGTACCATTCATCTGTCCACTGCCATCATCATAGAACTTCAGGCACAAGGAATACTCCACAGAGATTTTCCAGCGACAAGCTGAACTCATCTCTTTATTTCATAGGATTCTAGGGCAGCAGTCAGGACTCCTATGTCCCATCCCTCCGCTTCTTGGGTGAGCCTCTACCTCATCCACATCTCCCTAACCCAGCCTAACTCTCCCTAATGGTCCATCCATCCCAGAGTGGGTGACAAGTTCTTCAGGTACCTGGTGGAAGAGGCACCTGGGTTGGAGTCCAGCTTTGATGTTAAAGAGCTGACCTTGGCCGGGCATGGTGGCTCACACCTGTAATCCCAGCACTTTGGGAGGCCAAGGCAGGTGGATTACCTGAGGTCAGGAGGTGGAGACCAGCCTGGCCAGCATGATGAAACCCTGTCTCTACTGAAAACACAAAAATTAGCTGGGTGTGGTGGTGCATGCCTATAATCCCAACTGTTTAGGAGGCTGAGGTACGAGAATCGCCTGAACCCAGGAGGCGGAGGTTGCAGTTAGCTGAGATTGTGCCACTGCACTCCAGCCTGGGTGCCAGAGCCAGACTTCATCTCAAAAAAACAAACAAACAAAAAAAACAAACAACAACAACAACAAAAACACCTCATCCATAAAATAGGGCTAATAAAATGACCTATTCTGCTGTTGGGAGGATTCAGTGAGATCACGTTTGAAAAGAGCTGGGCCTTATACCTAGCACATGAGTGCTCAATAATATGTTAATCTGCTAATAGTTTTGATGACCTGAATGGGATCCCAGGTGAGATTTCATTTGAACTGAGGTGTGTGTGTGTGTGTCTACTGGACTAAAGAATCTTTCAGCTGGGCATAGTGGCTCACACCAATCCCAGTACTTTGGGAGGCTGAGATGGGAGGATCAGTTGAGCCCAGGAGTTTGAGACCAGCTTGGGCAAGACCCTGTCTCTACAAAAATACAAAAACTAGTCAGGCATGGTGGCATGTGCCTGTGGTCCCAGCTACTCTGGAGGCTGAGGTGGAGGTGGGAGGATTGCTTGTGCCCAGGAAGTCAAGACTACAGTAAGTCATGATTGTTCCACTGCACTCCAGCCTGAGTGATAGAGTGAGACCCTGTCTCAAAAAAACAAAAAACAAACAGAAAAAAACAACCTTGGGCCCATCTCCTTAGCTTCAAGATTCCATTTCTCCCACAATGTCTTCCCATCCAATACCTCTCCATTCTTCACTCACTAATTTTTCTTTCTTTTAATCTTCTTCTCTCCCAATAACTAAGTGGCTTTCAAGAATTTCATTGCTTTGAAATTTGAACCGAGATCGCACCACCGCACTCCAGCCTGTGTGAAAGAGTGAGACTCCATCTAAGAAAAAAAAAAAAAAAGGGAATATCCTGCAAGATGGTCAGTCAGACCAGGGTTTGCAACTCTGCAGTGACTCATTATGTGATCTTAGTGAAGTTCTTCATCTCTGAGTCTCAGTTTCCTGAACTATTGAATGGGGGAAATAATACATAATAGATGTCAGGTACCTAAAACACCTAAGGGCTCCATATAACTTTATTTTTATTTATGATCGATAAATAAATTTTTATTTATTATAGATAGATAAATAAATTCATAAATAAGTTATAATTATTTATATTTATTTTTTTAAATATTTATATATTTATTTAAAGTAATATATATTTATTTAAGATAAATAAATAATATATTTTTAAAAATATCTTTGAAATATATTTGATATAATATATATTTCAAATATATGTTTATTTGAAATACATATTTACTTAAATATGTAAAAATAAAGCTATATGGAGCCCTTAGGTGTTTTAGGCACTTGACATCTATTATGTATTATTACCCCCATTTAATATTTCAGGAAACTGAGATTCAAAGAGACTCAGAGCGAGAGACGGAGTTTTGCTCTGTGTTGCAGCCTGGAGTAGGGTGGCACAATCTCGGCTTACTACAATCTCC